GCAACAACCCCGGAACAAACATGTAAATTCTAATTTGATTTTTTTCGATCAATTTACATTTTTAACAATGACAGCAATTACACATTCGTGAGTAACCTCTAACAGCTCGTCAAAACACTTCTAGACAGCTCCCGGATTCCCCAGAAAAGTAGAACTACTCGTTACAGTGCTTCGTTATTTTTTATTACTTCACAGTTACTGCTTCGGATTGCCGCAACAACAAATGATTCGAGTTCAGTAGCAGTTCCGATAAAAGGTAACAAGGAATGCAGTACTGCAAGAAAACTGAGTTACAGTCATAACTTTGACGTTGAAGTAGGAGCGAGGAGTAAGTAGGTGCTACTGAAGATTCACGTTGCCCTTTGAATGCTGCCGGAGCGCTACGAGTCTGTTGATGTAGCTGAAAATGAAATATGACGAGGCATTCTCACTTCGCTTTATGAGATGGCTTACTACGTTGGGAAAAAGTGGGTAAAAAAAGGTGGACAGGCCAAGAAGCTGTTCAGCTGCGGACTTATAAATGGTTCACGGGAAAATCGGTATTGTCGTTTGGAAAACGAAAATCGTGAATTTCAAAAGCAAAATTCGGTTCGATAAAGTGTGGGCACTTTAATTTTTTGAAATTGCCAAACGCAAATGTCGGGCATGGAGGAAACGGACCGGGAGGGTAGTGTCTTCTTCCGTCGCGAAGATTGGTTTTTCACATGATGAAAAAACAGCAAACCTTCACTCTAAGATAGATATCGCCCATTTTTGCTAAGTTCTCCTTCTGATGGAAGGCGTGAATGGAGAAGAACCTAATGCTACAATCCAGACAAATCAGACCCACATGACAGCATGACAGCTATGCCATCCTTTTCAGAATATTAGATCATAGCAATGAATGAGCAATAGCCAACTGGGAGGTCTAATCAGCAATTAAACGCCACTTAAAAATGAAATATTTGCATAAAACACAGGAGGAGGTCAACGATAGGATGGAAATGAGACGTTGACAATTGACGACGCAGTGGGTGGGACCTACTGGGCGCCGGCAGCAGAATGACCAGTGAGTGAGCCGTCGAGTTCGTAACGACTCTAGTAACATAAAATGAGTTTGCTGCAGAGAAAATGAAATAGAAAATGGTTACTCCATTGGGAGACTGGAAATGGGAGTTGCGTAGGTGCATAGTGGTCAACAACGTTCTATAAAAGCTTCGAGGCCGGAAAAGCCACCGACATCCTCTACCCACGACAATGAGTCATTTGTTCTGACTCCATGTAAGGAGAATGATGACGGATTGGAAAGGCTCCTAAGAAGGTAGCAACAGCATACCGAAAGAAAAATTGTGATTACCACGACCAGGAGAGCAATCTGCGAGCTATGAATGAATGTAGAAGCCCTGCACAAGTAATCTTTCAAGTAGTCCCTTACCCATTCTAAAGAAGTCATGTTTTGGACATCGTTTGCAACTTTCAGAAAAAAGTATTAATTTGAAAAGCCTCTTTCCACCAACAAATATCGCTGAATCAAAAGCCATGGATCCACCGGGATCTTGATCCTGAATCACCGGACAAAAAACTCCGCTACCCGACTGGATGGCTAATTGTAAGATGAATGCGAAAGTGTAAGCAACAAACTCGTAGAGGCCAAGAATTATATACAACATAACGATACCTAAGCAATAAATAGTAATGGCAAACAGAAATGTCTTCTGGAAAATTCAGCCACGAAAAAAAGTTTGCTTGAACGCTCTATGACCACTAGTTACAAAAAGAGCTATCCCGAACCATTAGAGTATTAGAGTTCTTTCCCTCTAAAAAACGCCACCCCTTTTTCGCAGTGAAAGATTGGGGTAATTTAGCTTTGAAAGTGCATCTGAAGGCTTCTCAGTGTATTGCCTGGATAGTGTGCGTAACCAAATATTGTAAAGGCCCAAAAGGTAAGATGCGTAGGGCAGGCGCATAGGGCAATCAGCTACAACCGACTCGGGATTTTCCTCATAAACCTTGGAAAAGAAGGATAAGGTGAACTTGAGTGGCACTGTAGGCTTAATTCCCCTCCATGCACCCACTCATCATACTCAACCAGAAGAGCCTTAGCCATCACCCAGAGAACACGCAGAAAAGGCAGCAGAGACCGCATAGGAGGTAATATGTATGAGCGGTAGAATGGCCAGACATCGAAATAAATAAGCAATAGTCACACGGCTCAGCCCGATAGCCGTCACATGCATTCTGAAAACCTATGGGATACGGATGTACTAAAGCGAGTACTCTTGTTAGTGTTCAGACTTCCAGAGGATGTGTTCATAGTCGTAGCAGCACGGAAGCACTCTGAGGTTTTTCTGAGAGTAAATTTCATGAAAAAAAAAACGTTACAGAAGCAAGCCCTGACGTCCAGGAGTTAGTCTCAAGAGAAATCGTAGCCCACACGTCCAACCTTAGCTGATGGGGGACCAGCCTAATCGCACAACACCTGCTCTGATTTCTGGATCCAATATGAATATGGTCACAAAACTATTAATTCACTCAAAACCACATCAAGTTGAATGAGGTTCTAGAGTTCCCTAACTAGTAAAGCACTTGTCTGGGAGGACGAAGGTGCCGACTTGTACATTAACTGGCTTCAATGGAAATTGTTGCATTGCCTTTCACTGTCGCCATGGGTCACGACAAGGTGTTTCAATTCCTACAGGGACTCCCTTGTGATAGGTGCAGCCCCGGTGAAACTCGTCCGAGGATACACACGGATCAATCTCTGACCCTTTACAAGCCCCTATCTAGGCCGTTTTCCGACTTAATAGGGACGGATATGGTGTACGAAGAGGCCTCGGATTAATCCTCTTAGCAAGTCTCAGAAATCATTTTTATCATGAACTGTGCCTCTAATCTTGTAATGTTACGGTTTCATGCGGGCTCGATACGTGCAGAGCTTAGCAAACAATGTGATAAACACCTCCATTCCTCTTTTCGTTTTGAGAATGTGAAGTTAAGATCTCTCCGAATAATCTGACTACTTATTGTTAGATAGTTGGTAATTAGAACGCTCAGCCCAAGACGGAACTCAAATCTGTACCCACCCGAAAGAACAATTCTGCTGCCAGGTGCTTTAGGTTAGCGGGAAATCTTTCGCTTTGTCATTTTACTTGCTGACTTCTTCACCATCTCCAGGGACCATACAACGATCGTTCCTGAAGGAACCTAGCCCTTGCCTACAAACGTGTCGCTCCTGATGAGCATGAGTGAGCAAATCTATTCTCAATTCACCAATTTTGAATCTAAACTATTTTGACTGTTGGAATGAGCCGCTTCGTAGGATAACCATTGTGATCAAAGTGATCCATAAACTTTGGAGAGGCAAGAAGATTGGTCAGGGGGCTTCGAGCTCGTCTTCAAACATCAGAGTCATGCTCACAGGTACCATTACCAATTACAGCCATCCAAACATGACTTATTTAAGAAATATACAGCAGATGGATAGCAGAGTATAAGCTATGGATTCTTGGGAAACGAAAACGAAGACACGAACATTGACGGTCGCTGAGACAGCGGTCTGTGTTCCATGAAGAGGTCAAGCCCATGGTTACGATGTCGAAATCAAAAGGCTTTGTGGACATAATTCTTCTTAACAATTGACTTTTTACGTCCGATTTTTCGTCGTTCACGAACACAGCGGGAGAGGCCCGATATAGCTTCCAGGTAAGGATAAAGGCCTAGGAAACGGGTCCTGAAATCGCGTAAAAAAGCGGAAAAAAAGCAAGTTCAGCTCAGATCAGCTAAAGACAAAGTGGAGGGAGGAGTGAGTGAGAACGAAAGTGTATATATCGCACCTCACTCGGTCTCGAATTATCATCGTCCTCCAGTCGATAAACAGCTGTTGGCTGATTAGACATGCTTTACGGATGTCGCTTTGAGCGGGATCGAGTCATTTGATCGGAGACCAGCTCCACCCCTGACCAGTAGTTTCAGCTGGATTTATTTTCACGGAATTGATTGCAAAACCCATCAGCATGGCACCACTGAGAAGTAGCCCTCTAAAGGATGGAGGCAAATTTTCAGCTGTGGCCCCACCTGACAACGTATAGCTAAACCACTCAAAATGGCCTAAACAACTGGTTTTTGGGGATAGCGTTGTTGGAAAACACTCTCTCCTTCTGGTGCATGAAAAGTAGGGATGGATAACTGGGTGAAGTGGTTAAATAACGAACGTACAATTGATCAAAGTTCCTTGGGGACGGAAAGAAAGGCGCGTAATGGTCCACAAGGCTGATGATGGTATCAAATATTTGACTCAAAAGGCCTACTAGGACCAACTTAGCCCATCAGTGCTTTCTTCAACCTATAAAGAGTCTATGTATACAGCTGTTCATGATCTTTGATCTAAATCCTTTATTACCCAACAAGTTCATAACGGACTAGTCACTAAAATATGTCAACATAGTAAATTAGCAATTGAATGAGATCAACAAATCAGAAGCGCAAGACTTTCAAAGCACGAGTATTATATACAAAACTGAAAGACGTGGAAATTGAGCAACGGAAACTGTTTGCCCGCTACTAAGGTTCGGAGAAGTTATTCATTTTTAACATGGTTCTGGTCGACTAGTAGAGCAGACTCGGACTCATCGCCAGCTTCAACTTCCTCTTCTTCTTCATCGTCAGGATAAAACTCTTCTCTGTCAACACTGAAGTCTGCTGAGCAGATACTGCAAAAAAAAAATGAATCAATCATGTACCTTTCAACTGAAAACAGAATAAAGGTAACAAAACCGGAAATGTTTCTTACATTAGTTAGACTTTTTACCTACATCCAATAACTGCTTCTTTTCTACCACATTGCCCCTTGCGAACATCGCTCTATTCTAATGATAAATACGAACTGTTCTTTTACATTACACTCAATGTCTGCAAAATTCGTAGTACAAACCCCAAGAGAGTCATAAATCACCAGCAAGGAATGGAAGGTTCCGTAATATTTCTCATGAATAGAGGATTTTACTCTAGGTTCTGAATTGTAGTTAACGGCCGAAAAAAAGGGTAAGAAAGAACAGATAGCAGACAGCTTACCTGTAACAAATAATGCTAAGAAATGCAATTGGCATCCCAAACAAAACTGAGGACAAAAGTGGTTGCGTAGCGAACATTTGGGTGACGTTCATGTACAATTCGAAAATAATTCGGCGTATCCGAGTTAGCAACGAACGACCTATAACAAGCACAGAATGCAGAAAAACCTAATCACTAGATCAACACAACTCACCTCCTAGAGGAGTGGCCGTCCCCTTCTCAGTCCCATCAGCCAGATTACTAAGCCAAGTCACTAAAGATCCACGCGTCACCTTCTCCGGATCATCTTCATTAAGGAAATATTCGTATGTTGTGTAATTCAGCACGATAATATCTGAACAAAACACTTTCCATCAAATTTTAAACCTTGTAGAAAATACTCAAAACAGAACGAACTAGGAGCTTCCATACTGTTCATAACTATAGTGGAAACTATATCTGCTCCATCCATCCACGCAAATTGATAGCGGGACCATAGGTATTGTGATTTACGCAAGTCTTCAGCTGCCCCACGAGCCTAGAAAATATCTTAAATTCATAGCAAACCACCATCAAAATATAAGCCAGGATCATGACGCAAAATGGTCACCCCTCGGAACCAAGAAAGATCCACAATACAAAAACCCACCTTCTCGTAAAATCTCCCGACCGGTGTTGACTGGTTATATCTCTCTAACTGGAACATGCACTTTATATGGCCTTCAAGCCGATAAATATAACGCGAACCTCATTACTTATCACGAGTACGAGCAGTTTCTTAGTAGTCGCCAGATCACGTAGATTTACACCAGACGCACGAGGCATTAACGGCCATCGTTCGGCCATAATCCAACTCTCCAGCCCTTCTAAAAAGAATTCTAAAGTATTTTGTATCAGAAACCTCCAAGCCATGCTGAATGAATTAGAACTATTGTATTTTTGGGATGTCGTGAGATTAAACAGCTATAATCTCTATCTCAGCAAAATCACCAAATAATGTGACTTAAATTCAAAAAGGTTTATTGATGAAAAAATGTATCAGGTGAAGATCCTCCACCCTAACATGGTTATGAATTACCATATGTTCTTACCACTAGAGAATATAGTTTAAGTACTCACCAACAGAGCCATGATATGGGAAGAATGAATCGTCTTTGAACACAGCCACCCGTGCGCCCGATTCCCTAAGCGTCGCTGGAACAGATGCAGGACTAGCAGAGAAGAACCTTGTCTGAAACACAATAACTATTAGAATTCACATGGACGCTCTACACCGCTCATAAACTTCAAGAAAAAAACAATTTTATCTTCAACACGAAGTTAAATAAATTAAAAAATATAATTCAAAAAGGTCAAACACACTTTAGAAAACAACGATTGAGCTATTTCTTCGAATTTTGTATAAGTCTCATCTTTTTCATCTCCAATTATGACAAATGAAGGATCGCTCCGTGAGTCCCGTCTAATCTGAAGTTAAGAGTGTTTTTGAAAAATAGAAGGACAAAGAAAGGCTAAAGAAGAGCTAGAGGAAGACTGACGTCGTTGACTCTCACAGCGTTGATTTTTTCTATAATTGGCGCTGAACTTTTAACGACAAAGTTAAATAGGTCTTCCTTGCTGCGTTCTCCAGTATATTCTAGCCTGAGCCCTTGACGGAAGCTGAAAAGCAATCTTTTCGCCACTTCTTTCACGGTTACTGAAGCGGCAGTAAGAATATATAGATTTTGCACGTATTGGATTGTACAAGTACGTACAACTCACAAAAGAATTGTGGGGTATCCTGATATGGAAAGGCTGTTGCAGACACTGGTGAAACGTGTGCAGTCCATCTTTGCAACTCTCACTGGCAGATTTTTATCATTGACTGCATGTCCAAGATGTTCCCATACTGGGAAAAGTCGTTTGCAGTGAGCACACCAAGGAGCGTAGAACTGGAAAAAAANAAAAAAACCCTACAGTGTCTTCGTACATATCGAATGAGCTCGAATCCATCAATTTCATAGGAAAAAGCGGACTTCTGATTGGTAAATCATGCTCTTCACCACATCATTGTCACTAGAAAACATACAGCTGCTAAATACCTCCGCGGCTTTGTAGAAAAAGGCACAGAATCTACCAAAACCACTTGACTATAGCGAGAACCAAACCAAAAGATTTTTCTCCTTGACCAAAAGAAGATAACACATAGCAAAAACTTATGACATACTTTCACAATCCAGAATCCTTCATTCATGACATCCAGAAACTTCTCGTTAAGGTCGATTACAACTGTCAAAGTACCCGCTGCGAAGCAGCAAGGTAAAATGGACAGCAAAATTAGCGGATAGAACTGCATCGACCCTGGAGGGGCTGAAATAGTAATATCGATGATAGGATATACACGACACAAAACTTCGGAAGAGGCGAAAACCAAACTGTCCGAAAAGAGCACAAATAGGTTCCCCACTCCCATCACATTGCATTTCAGCAAGGAAAATGCCTATTACAAACGTCTTCGGAGTTCTCATCACTGAGAGACTCCAACTTCAACAACATTAGCCTCATCACACATACGAAAGAGTTAAAATTCCTATCGTAGTCGCAAAATAAACAAGCGAATGAGATGCTTTGCCCGTAAATGCTCTACGACTAAAACATGTTGTTTTACAGCTAAAGGCCTAACGGAAAAGGCTCGGATGCATGCTTATTTCCCTACATATGTAGGAAGTTTTTTAATGGATGGTCCAAATATTGCTCTCGATCCTGGCGGTGCCTATTCAGAATTGTGATCGATAAAATGCCAATATCGGTCCCGAAGAGTGATTTGAGTGCATATTTTTCCACTACCTTACTTCTTCAGTAGATAACATGAGTAAAAAAAAATTTAATCCTGAAAATTTAAGAAAGGAAACGACTCAATACAAAAGAAAGCAAATCGAGGCAAGAAATGAAAATGAATCTTAAACATCGCTAAACATAGATTCATTAGCAACCCTCCAAAGAAATTGTAACGAACTAGACTGAAATAAGAATTCCAACTAGAAGGAGAATCCATTTCCTACGGGAAGCGACCGCCGCACATTGCCAAAGCTTAAGTACCGCCCCGATCCCGATCGATAGCTGCCGGGCTGGGTAGGCCGGAATTACTCAAGTTTCCCATTCTAACAATGGTAGGGATGAATGACGAAGTGAGTGGAGTCGGTCAAACACGTTCTGGGATGGCCCATTCAACGTTCATTAGGATCGTTGTGGTGTTTGGATGCGGATTCGGCTCATACGATTATTTACGGGAGCTCAAGTTTTTGCATGCACCTTCCCAAACGAGCATGGTACCAATTTACCGACGCCGGAGTGATGATTGGCTTGGTTCACCTAGACAAGTGTTGGTTCCATACCTGTGATAACGGCGGGCACTGAGAAAACTCTCCTACGCCTATTTTTACTGCAGAACTCCTCGAAATTTACCTAATCATCCTAGGTTTCCGTGTTTATCATTTCTTTTTGAAAAGAACGCTTCCAAATTTAGTTTTTTCTTGATTTTTTTTTTACAAAATTTATGTATAGTATACAACAAATAACAAAACGATCAATCCGTTTTGGCAAGTTGTTGTGCCTTCACCAGCAGGGCATATTTGCCGTCAGCTTCAATGAGCTCCTCATGTGTTCCATACTCCACAACGGCACCATTTTCAATGTAGTAGATCCTGAAAAGATGGCGCGCATTCGAGAAATTCACTGATGAACATGAAAAAACTTCCAGTCATGACCCTACCTATCAGCGTCTCTAACGGTACTCAATCTATGTGCTATTGTTATCGACGTTCTGCCATGGCTTGCTTCGTTCAACGCATTTTGAACCACCTTGAAAAATATGATTTATCCACGAAAATTCAAGTGAGCTGTGATGTATTCATAGGGGAGGGGGGGAAAATGGCAGAGCTACCGATTCCAACTGCGGTACAAGTGTAATGACCAGAAANGCGGCAATCACCACACTAACACTCATACGTCAAGGTGGGTCTACGCACACTTTTACGTGTACCAACATGTAACGATCAATAAGTGCGTATGGTCTGAACTTTGATCCTTAGTCCGACCGAGGGGTATAAATAGCCAAAGGGCTCCTCAGTCGGGTCATTCTTGGCCTTGATGGTCCGCAATACAGCAATGCCGTATCCGCAATATCCACCAACGACTCAATTCTCAATATCCTACAACACAACATCTGACACAATATCCGACTGCACAATACGCAGACGAAGAAGGTATACCTGTTAGGATTTTTGTTGTATTAATAAAGTTTAACACCAAGCCGTGCACTCGAGCAGTTCAGAGGTATCCGCGTGGCAAATCTCATAGATTTTGGGCGAGCAACCTCACCACACTAGTGACCACATACCTTTTCGCTTTCGGTGTCAAGTGCACTAGTAGCTTCATCCAGCAGTATGACTTTAGGCTTGCGAATCAAAGCTCTGGCTATGGCGATACGTTGTTTCTGACCACCTGATAGACTGCCTCCCTTCTCGCCAACATCAGTTTCGTACCCCTGAAATTTTAGGATAATTATAATAGTAGAGGGAAACCCAAGGAGATTATTTCAAAACCTGAGGGAAGGCTTCAACAAAGTTGGCCGCATTCGCCTGCCTGCATGCCTCCTGTACCTCGGCTACACTGACATCTTCCAGTCCCAGCGTGATGTTTTCGATGATCGACCCTAAATTAATTACATTTCAGGACACCCGCAGGTAAAGCATCGTATGTATCACCTTTGAAAAGGATAGGCTCCTGCCCTACGAGGGCGATGTTGTTCCGAAGGTGAACGCGACACAACTGCTTCAGCTCGTGGTTGTCGATTTTCTGAAAGCGACTGGTCGAATCCTATTGAATTTGGCCTAATTCTTCGTTATAATGTGACTTCAGTTTAAAATATGAGCCTCCATTAACTCACAATATTACCACTGTCCGGTTCGTAGAATCTCTCCAGAAGCTGGATTACTGTACTCTTCCCACAGCCCGATGCTCCCACAAGGGCTATGGCCTGACCACATCGTGCCATGAGATTTAGATTTTGGGCAACCTAAAAAGTAAGTTTTGGTGTAAAGCTCTTCGAAAAGCTATCCAGCCTTAGCAACATTCTTCTGAAGGACAACATAATGGATTTGTTTTCAGAGAAATCGATTCGAAAATCACCTTCACATCTGGCCGTGATGGGTAGCTGAAGGTCACCTTTTCAACTTTGATGGATCCATTCAGTTCCTGAAAGATTAGCGATCTACCTTGTGAACTTTGTATCTAGTAGGTTAATGCTTCAGCCGAGGGTATACGTACAGGTGTTGCACCGCCTTCCGCCTTTTTATAGCTGTCGATGAGGGCATACAAAGATTGAGCAGCAAAATGTGATCGAACGAAATCACCCAGAGCTGCTGATGCAAATATTACAGCCCATCCAGCAAAGTTTGCACTTGTTGCCGACCTGGAACAATGTCGTACCCGACAGCGAGTATAATGCCTGGAGACCACGGTGTAAGCTGATCTTTCTTTCCGGAGTCATAAAAAACAAAAGTGCGGTCCTACGTCTATTTAACTCAAATAGAGTTGAGAAAAAATCGTGTATGAAAATAGTCTCTGAAGCTACTGACTGACATTCCTGACGGTAGAAATGATCATTGGAAAGAGTGACATGGATCCAGAAATCTTCCCCCACTATTTCAGCATTTCAATCAGCTCTATCAGCCAAACCCAATGCTCTCTACGTGCGATAATAAGCTGATTTTGAAGATCTCTAAGTCTCAGATTCCTCGAGCATCCCTGAGAAACCAACTGGAATCATGGCGATTCAACACTATGTAACAGCCGCGATGCGAGCGGATGGCCACGAGTTCTATCTCAAAGGGAAGAAATAAGTTAGACATACATACTATCATTAGGTTGATGCATAATTATTGCGGATCTTTTCGCGGCTTTTTTTTCTCTCGATAGAATTTGAATATTGAGTTCGGGTTTTTTCTAGAAATGATGTACTTGATTTCCTCTACAAGAATATACTCAAAAAACCATCGGCATATTCGCGAAATTAGGCTTAACTCTTTCGAGAAAGATTGGAGGTGGCACAGTCATTCCGTGATCTCGATAACTTTTCGGCGACCGAACAATCAGCCAAAGCCAACCAGGAAATGGGATCTGCCCCTAAAACTGTCATATTCACCAGCAGAAACTTTTATGGATTATCTCGTCAACCGTTCATCGAAAAATGGCTAGAATAGANGTTGTTGAGGTAGATGGTGAATAAGTTCCGAAGTAATTATTTGAATATGTCTTTGCTTAGTATTTCTATAATTTCTTCAAGTAAAATTTGCTGGAAAAAATCCACAATAATTATGCATCAACATAATACTATTACTGCAATTCATTACTATTATTTATATTTCTATCTTAATTTTCCGGTCAAATTCTGTTTGACACAACCCGCTTCTATTGGTAGCCCTATAAGACAGTTTTTGGCGGGAAGATAAAAGGATAAAGTTTTTGGCCTTAATCAATCCCGGTGGCCAGCCGATGTACAAGTCAGTTCTTTTATCCCCCCAGACGAGTTTTGTACCAATTCACCGACCCCGTAGGGATGGAAGGCTTGGTGTTGTTGTTATTGATATGTTATTTAAACTCAACGCCTATCTATTTCTTCAGTCTTCTTGATTTTTTTATCCTTCGTAGATATTTATACTTATTATTATACACGCATTAGATATTGACTCATAACTCCCTTTCGTTATATGTATCGTGACATCTGTATCAACCCTAATTAAATAGTCATCTCCTAATCACTGAAGAGCCTCGGATGATGGCTTACATTGGTTCGTATGATTAAGAAGCGAAGCGAACCAGTTTTTTGTTTTTTGTCTTCTCTTGTATACTAACCTATAACCTATGTTTCTTTCTAATGTGGCTGCTGCAGGAATCATGGAATATGAGAAGTATTGTCGTTGATTACTTACACGACTGTGTCCTTCGAATCAACACGTCCAAAGTAAATCATGCTAGCTCCAATTCCGTAGGTTACCAGATCGGAAAAATAGATGTAAGACTGGGTGAGCCCGAACTGGATCGACTGATATATCGTTGTCTGAATGGCAGCTTTTTAGAACCGTATACCCCATTTATTTACATTTGATAACGTGGACTACTTTGTGTTGAAAAATCTTTTCTTGAAAAGTTCTCGAGCTTATTTGTTAGTCACGGGTCGCCTTCCTGGTGTAATCCGTTGCTGGAACTTTAACATACCCATCTCTCTTGTTCCTTGACAACGGCCTCGTAACTTTCATATTTTTGCAAAAAGTAATCCTCAACGGCCAACAGTTGGATAGTTTTGGCGTGCTCGAACACTTCAATGGAGAGCTGAATGAGACACGGGTCAAGTGTGAACTGCATAGGTGTTTTAGGGAACCTACTTCAGGAGTTTTGTCATTTTCGGACTTCTTTTCCATACTGGCAGAAATTCTGTTACTGGTAATCCACATGCTGACAATGAACAAAGCCAACAAAACGGTCATGGCCACTCCACTCTCCCAACAGGCGATAATAGACAGTGGAATACAAACGACCACAGCACACATATTGTTCACCATCAGCATGAAACGGTAGTCGAGACACTGCAATGAAACACCCTTGTTGAAGGTTCTGAGAGTTATAGTTATGCACGGGAATGAGTCTGTCTATGGGGTGTATTACGATAGTAAATAAAAGGAAGTAAATGGCTAAGTGTAGGCAAATGCATATTAGTGAAATCACAAAGGCTCAGCAATAAACAAATTCGCATAAGTGCATAAAACTAGTATGAACCTAGTGACGGCACGGTCCTTGCTCGAGCTCCTCGACGATTATGAGGTGGATCAATCTCTTGCGGCACCTCGGCATTCAACTCCATCCGAGGTAGCTCTATGACGTTCCTTGCCCAATGTAATTCGACTGCGAGTTTATAATCTCATAACCATCAAATAGAGGCGCAACAGGTGCGTCGGGTTCGGCTGGATTTGCGGTGAAGGTTTTACACGACGATGATGCAACCTGCGTGACGACGAACGGGCGACGACGATCGAGTAGGAGACACGGCATAGTTGCGGCAAGCGGTGTCCCTTCACTCCTTGCCGATGACCGTTCTTTCCTGGAAGGGCAGAGCGACCCCAGCTAGCTTTTTTGAAGTCGGTTCAGCGGACGACCGAACAAATTAACATATCCAGCTACATCAATACTCTTGCAACTACCTTCAAATTTTGTAGGGGTAACGATATTTTTCAAATATGCGGAATGCTTTTTCGCGCCTCAGATGTTTATTTATTTGTTTATTCGATTGATTTTATCTGCGCCAGTTGAAGCGGAACTGAAAAAATTATGAATACCGCTTGAACATCCGGTGCTTTCGTGGAGAGTTCAGCGACACAGGCAGCATTACTGCACTGAGGCCGATCGAAGTACTCGGCTTCTTGGCTCAGTAGACTTTTCAGAACCTTCACACGCATATTCGCTGTGGTAGCTTCACCTGACCATCCACCGAAACCCACCTAAAATCAGGCTTCTAAAAAAGGTTTATCATCTGAGACGCATAACGTCAAACTCACTGCAACTGTCAGGAATAACCACGAATATAATGCCAAGAAAATGAATAATCCAATTGCCAGCCACATGAATGGAATGAACGTCTCCTGAATGTACTCATACAGTATAAAGTGAGCTGTGAAAGTGAGGAATAACTATCGGTTTTAGCAGCGAATCCGCTCTGGTGTGTGCGCTTCGGTAGACTTGGACTAACAAATGTGGGTACTAGGGGATCAAGCGCTGGCATCTGTAATCGAATATAGTCTACTAGGATATTCAAAGTAGAGCGTCAAAGGTACTTGGAGCTCTACTCTGGTAGCGCCCTGAGCGCCCAGCGTCTTTGTGATAAAACTGTTACGGCTGGATCACTGCTTACTCAACCCTCTGGATAGTAGAAGGCGGAGAGTGGCTGCTATATGTATCAAGCTGCTACCAGGCATTTTGACTCATAATCGAGAAGAATATTCTTACAGCTGTTTGCTCTAGAGCTTGATAGCTGAATCCCACGAAATATGCACAAAGAGGAAGTTCCATTCCTCGTAGAACGCTTCCTATCAAACATGCCCAAAATACTGCACTGGACCGTAAACTCGTAAGATATACCCGGAAGATTCCTCCGCCACGGCTCGCCTGCAAAGAAATGGGTTGCCAACAGGAGTGCATGAAGCAGACATAAATTAAATTGGGTAGACCTTGATTTGAGTAGGTTTGTCTGCGGGACGTGTAGTAGTCGGCTGGGAAACGATGGATGAGACGGATCTTCGCGTCATTCCGCTTCCTCTCAAGTTATGCCGCACCAAAGCTGCGGAACTGAAATGTATCGTGCGGAAAATAAATGTATTGAACATACTTCGCTAACTGATCTAAGGAGCTTCATGTACACCTGAGGCACAACTTCTTTGTTCAAGTCGCGAAATCTCAACTAGAACTTTTGCTCTACCAATAGAGATGGGGTTATTTCAGAGCAGACGTAGAGAACCATGTCTCTGTCATGTCTTTGTCATTCTCGGTTCATAGTCATAGGTATGTAGTGAGCGATAGATATCGATTACGTAAGCGTCAAGTCGATAGGATTGCCTGCATCGGCGCGCACAGTCATGGTTCGTAAAGGAATAAAAAGGAATTAAAATCAAGTGTAAGTTAGAAGATGTTACTCGAAAATGGGAATATTAAAGTGTTTGAACAGGCGTTAAGGCTTTGTTTATGCCAAGAAAAAAAATGTTAAGAGGAAATTGGGTAAAATGGAAACCATAAACGCTGCTCATGACTCATTGTCGAAAAAAAAANAAAAAAAAACACAAAAAACAGAAACCAAGTCCTGACTATCCGTGCGAATCGATACTGTCGGAGAATTTCCTGGTCCGCGTACTGATGTCGGCAATGTTTACACCAACTTCTTGAGCTGCTGCTAGAGCGCTATACAGGCCTCCTTTTTCCAACAGCTCGAAGTGAGTGCCTAAAAAGTTGCGATCGCACAAATGACTTGGAATCTGCGGGTTTTTGCCAAGTAAAATGACGCAGGTAGGGAGTCTGTAGTAGCTAATCGAATAGTTAACATTTAATAGATGATATACGCAAAGATGACGGGCTCCGTTAACCTATCCATCTCAGACTTTCAGGAACATAATTGGATAGCTGTGAGATATATGCAAGAGCAACGAGTACCAGCCAACTAGCAGGACTGTTTATTCATAATTCCAGTGAATCCGGCTCACTCAGAGATGACAGAAGACTTCTGTTGTGGTAAAAGTGTTTAGGCCGCAATTTGGCGGGATTTGAAAGGTCGGGGAGTACGAAGCGAAACCAAATGCGCGGGAAAATGGTAATGGGCTGTGGGCCGTGAGCAAGGAGGTTGGCAGTTGGAAAACTAACCGTGGCCGAGGAAGGCCGTCGTCTGAACGCCCCTGTCCCGCCGCCACCGCAGAGATGAGCTGCTTACTGCCCTGGCCTTAAGTCTTCAGTTTTGGCGTTCTTTTTTTTGTACTGTGGTTGTCTTTGTGAGCTGAGCTTTTTTTGTTGTAGAAAGGACTTGATTGCTTTATTTGATTTCTTTTAACTGTTCTTTTGAGATAAAGAATTTTATCATCAATCTGTGTATCGCGGTTTCTCGATCAAAATATCGTGGAAATAGGCCAAAAAAGGGAAAATACGGGTTTGAATGACGAATTAGATTAAAGGAAGTCGAGATTGGTCCCGCGCGGAAAAAAAATGTCGAGCGTGGGAAAAGAAACAAACATTAACCTAAAAACGAGCGAGCCCATAATCTCGACGGACGTCAACGCGAGGAGGGGGGGAGGGGGTTTTGATGTGTTTAATTGTTCATTGTTTTGTGTTCTTTATTACGATCAACGATTCATATCGCGATAGCATGTATTGTGAATCTCGCGATCGCCGTTTCTACTGTGTTGATTTTGTTAGAGTTTGTTGAAGAAGGGTCTAATTACCCAAGTCTAAGGTTTTTGTATAAAGCCTACCCGCACCATTGTGTGGTGTTGGTCGTTAGGTTCCGCGTGTTTTATTTTCTGGTCGTGAAGTATTCTACAAGACGCCGAGAGTTCTTTTACTGTGTGCCGTCAATCGAAGGGTACACAACCGTAACTGGTTTTTTCTTTTTTTACAAATTGCCAAAACCTAACTCTTCGTTTGCTCCATGAAATCCTACCCAAGCCTTGACAATAGCTATCAATATTACCCAAATTCTCCTCTCCTGCTAATAACAATAAGAAATATAAATATTGGAGTAACAGTAATACCTTCTTCCACTACTTTCCCGTCCTGAATGGCATAAATCCGCTGGACATCCTTCAAGGTGCTCAAGCGGTGAGCAATGACTATCGTTGTGCGACCACGAGACGCCCTGTTCAGAGCAAGCTAAAAAACCGCGGTCAGCTCGCTTCTTTGACAAATTTTCGAGCTCTCAGAAGGCCTAACTTTCATACCTGCACTACGTTTTCGCTTTCAGAATCCAGTGCACTCGTAGCCTCGTCCAAAAGCAAAATTTTCGGCTGAGTTGCCACCGCTCGAGCGATAGCGATCCTCTGCTTCTGTCCTCCCGAAAGTGAGACCCCGCCAGATCCAATAATGGTGTCGTAGCCCTTAATGTCTGCCGGATTGTGCTTTTAGATGAGCTTTGCTTTTGAATACGGTGGAGCAGAAAAGTGGTGAGAGCTCACTTTGTCCAGTTTCATGATGAAATCGTGAGCATTCGCTATTCGAGCAGCATCTTCGGCTTGTTCGTCGGTGACTGACCGGCCAAGCACTATGTTCTCACGAATTGTGCCATTAAAAAGACAAGGCTCTTGCTGGACAATGCCGATCATCTGAAAAGTGACATGGCCATGGAAGACGAGGTCGCCGTAGGAATGATTATTGTACCTTTCTCAAATCACTCGTTCTAATCGATCGAATCTCTTGACCATCAAGGAGAGCTGATCCTTTGTCACAGTCGTAAAGCCGAGTCAAGAGGCCGATCTGAATTGATCATCACCAAGTCCTCGAAATATTACGTAAGCAAGCAGCCGAGTAGCTATATAAACACATAAACTATGTGTCGAACGAACACTGGTGCTTTTGCCACAGCCGCTTTTACCTACGAACGCAATCGTCTCTCCAGGTTCCGCTACCCAACTGAGACCTTGCAGTATAGGCGTCTCCCTGAAGAAATAGCGATTCGCTGTGGCAACTCTTTCTTCACAGCAGCTTCTATGTCACCTGGTTGGGTATTTGAAATGAACGTCCCTGAATTCCAATCGACCTTTGCACGCCCTCAGTTCTTTTCCCTCTTTGGAAACGATATCCTGAGCCTGAAAAGCATCAAATATGATCACAAGATTGCTGCCTAACACGATATTTCTGTTGAAGTTTGATCAGAGTTGGCCCAATGAAGGTAGGCGACAGTAATAGAAGGGATTTCTGGCTCGCAAACGTAATTGCGGAAAAAACAAAGAAAAATTAAGATTTAAAAGACAGTCCGTAAGTAAAAATACTGTGATTTTAGGAACTCCAGAAGGAGACTTCAACTACGGGACTGGAAATTTATTTACTTGATCAATCGTTTCATAGATGATCGCTGCAGCTATTCTTGCCTTCATGATGGCCATCATATGAGGACCGAGCAGTCCAAAAAAGTAGGAGCCTAAAATGCCGACGGGTACGATATTCTTCTTGTTCTAAGTCTTGGCATGAATTTCCTTTAATATTGCTGACCTCACCTAACAGAACTGTAGAGGCCACAATAAAAATCGTTCCAGGTTCAGCAGTGATACCATTATAATAGCTCGGAATTCCATATCTAGAGAATATAGAATTTGTGATTTAGTGATGTTGACGTCAAAATTTCACTTAAAGTAGATTCTCCTCAAGAAGGACTCACAGGAAAGCAGCCGCGTAGAAAATATACAGTTGAAAGAACATGAAACCTTCGCAAAATCCATTGATGAAGCTATATCGAATAGCAAACGATACTCCTCTTCTCAGTTGCTCTTCATATTTCTGAAACATCCGCAATCAAACTAAGTATTTTTTTAACCAATAACAGCTTTTTTTGTTGGAACAAAAAAATATTGACAAAAATTGTATAAAAATGGTGTAATGCCGTGGTTTTCGCCCGACTTGTTAAAGGGCCACGCCTGGTGGGGCGCGCGGGGATCCCGGCGTGAACAGCGTATCGGCGCCTGCCGTCGGCTATACTCGACGCGTGCTCTGGCCTAAAACCATCGGGCAGTGTGTCTGCATGTCGTCGTCGTATCTGGCCGCCACTGCTGTCGTCCAACCGTCGTAGCCGCCCGAGGATGGAGAAATGATGCATTCCGATTGAATGCGTAGTGATCGACTCGGGCATGGAAGCCCGAAGGCGCCAAGCGGTCCCAAGTTACGTCGCTCCCGTGAGACTCAACGTGCTGCGTTCGAGCCCCCTGATACGTAGGTTTCTCTGGTCATCGCCGTAGTTTTTAATTTTTAAAGTATTCAATGTTTTCTTTTTATGTATATATGTGTATAAGATGTATTTCATTTTACCATTTCTTCCTTTTGACGCATTCTTGCTCTTCTTATTGTTGTACTCATGAAGAACTGCTTAGAATATTGCGTTGAAAGCTTAAATACTGTAAACGGTTTGCACCGTAGAAGGTTATATCTGGTTTGATTGATGAAGTGGGGCAGTGCGTAGGCTATTCGTGTTGTAGGACGCAGCACGCGTAGGGTGATGAAAGCAGTGGCTGCTTTCATAGTCCGAAGGCGTGCGTGCCGGCGTGCCGGCGTGCCGAGGCAGTGCTAGGGGGGAGGAGGGAAAGGGACGGTCGGTCAGCCCCTTCAAAGAGCTGAAAACAAAGGAGAACAAGATCAAAAAACAAACAACCAGGAGCTTGTGGAAATGGATTTTGAACTTGTCTCTCTTTGTTTGCAGCCCTTCGAAGGGGCTGACCAACCGTCTGCCTCCCTCCTCCCCCCTAGCGCTTCCTCGGCACGCCGGCGGACTATGAAAGCAGCCAGTGTAGGACCAGCGTAGGGGTTACAGGGCCAAAGCAACATTCCGCGCGGCAAGGGGCGAGGGCGAGCGCCGCGTAAGACCCCGATGCCTATGTATAGCGAGGAGCAAGGGGTCCCGGATTATTAGTGGTCGGATAAGCTCTGCCGTGAATGATATCAAATCAGAGAGGAACCGTGGCCCTTCATTGAATCGCAAACTTCGATGGGTAGCGGCCGTAAGCAAGTAGTGAACCGAATTTCATTATCAGCCCCTATCAATGCACTTACCCTTTTTGTCGAGTGAAGCATATCAAAGAATCAAAGCTAAATCGAAAATAATAAAGGCGCTAGGATAAAATTGGTGATTAAATCTTATTCTCTAAGGCCTCTTCTATCGTCAGTGTTCCCATCTTGCCCCCTCTACTCCTATTGATATTGCTCTCCAAGTCCACGAGATCAGGAGGTTACCCTCGTACATTTATTTCGCTGAAACCCCGTCCCCTAGTGGTGCAGTCCGGCCCTACTGCCCAATATAAGTGTTCACGTACTGCCGCATGTGCCTACCAGGTTTTAAAGCACAAGGGCCAAATTGTCAATTTTGGCGCAAACCCCGCACCATGTAGACGCGGTCCGGTCCTGCCAACCGTCATAAAGTTCCCATCCTGCCTCCTGTACTCTCACCAAATTTGAACGCTCTAGGTCCACGGAGACAGGAGTTATGATTTTCCTGCTCCAACATTTGATTCTCCCCCGCTTCCTGAGGGTGGAGCCCGGTTCGGTCATGCATCATATGTGTTCCCATCTTGCCTGTGCTTCTACCAAATGTGAACGTATTTGGTCTACGAAGGCAGGAGTTATGAATTTCCGTGCAAACAAACAGACAGATGTACAGACAGACAGACGCAAGCGCTTTATATATAGTAAGGATCATAATCAGCCTATTTGAAGCAGAAGTGGTAGAGTGGCCAAGGCCTGAGACCCTGCGTATATACTTGTTGGAAGATCAAAAGTTAATTTTTTCTAATGGATTGCCTGCCAGTTACTGGTGTACAGCTACAGCCTCTAATTAGAAACAAATGTGGCGCAAGCTAAGGTAAAACAGTCCTTGGCATTATACGAAATTGGTTTTGTAATAACCCACTTTAACCATATACTTTTGACCGTTGCAAGCTGCAACTGTTTTGACGTTCATAATGGCTTCTTCAGCTATCGCACCAGCTTCACCAGAAACTGACATCATTCCCTGCATTGGTGGCGAAGAGAGCTGGAACAATATTTGAGAAAATCGACATCTGCTTCATCAGCTTGAATGGTCAGGAGGTCATTACTATCGAATTTCGAAAGTGACAAGTGGCTGGAAGTTGATAGGCAAACTCTCACTTTATCTGCGTACCTAACCATAAGGCTTCGCAGCAGCTCGCTTCACTAACCTATGCGTCTTTTACAAGACAAATTTTGGCAGTAGAACTTCAATAGCAACGACACACTGTGGCCATATGTCTTCAGGATTCAGAGCGTTTTCCAGATTCTCCCTTACCCTTGACATGATAGCCATGGTTATGGCGCTTACAGGACCGTCCCAAATGCACACCAGAGTAATACGCCAGTCGTAGTAAAAAGCAAAAACGGCGCTGGCGATGAACACTGTCACTCCTCTTGCCAGCATTCCGATCTTGTCACCAATTCCATCTTCAATTTGAGCCACGTTCCTGAATGGTGTCCCTCTTTTCTTCTGCTCAATCTAATTTCAATTCAACTCTTTTCCTTCATGGGCTCTTATTTGTAGGTGTGTTCTTTGTGAGGTTAGGTTAGGGTAAACATGGGGATTTACGAATTGAGCCTTCCGAGTCTATGTGATCAAATATACTTTTTAATGGTATACTACCCGCCTTTCCTTCCCCCTTCTATAACAGTTCCTACTCCACTTTGGCAAGCTATAAATAAAAAGGAGTCAACTGATTGAAGGCCTCCTCACGAATTTGGCTTCTCAGCAGCCTTAACGTCTGGGTCACTCGTTAAGGAGAACAGGCTAAATAGGACCTCCTCCCGGCATAGTACCGCTACAAACGTTTCAGTACCGCCTGAAGCATGCTATAACCCCTCTCCTGTCCTGCAGTAAGGTCTATAGGATTTGAGGCTGGTAAAATTCTTCTACTTACTCGTTCAGCTGCGTGGTGATCGTCCCTGCGTTGTTTTCGTCAAACCACGCGGCGTTCTGTGCCAGTACTGCTTTCACAAATTCCTTACGTATACGACCAACAATATTATGACTGGCCAACGAGAGAAAATAATTCTGAAGTGTTTTGGAAACAACACGTACATAAACAAAAAATTGAAATCTCTCACCTGTAGATAACACAAAATAAAAAGCGCAATACCAACTCCAAAATAGCCGGCACAAAGACACATTGCCTGCCTCCACAACGACCCGTTACCGACATGCTGCAAATAGCTGGGCGCTAGTTGGAGCCAAATTTGGATTTGATTTAGATATCACTTCCCTCGGTTTGAGACGAACGGTAGAATTCGAATTTCTCTTGTGGGTTATAGACATGCACCCAGACAAACAGACAGACAGACAGACGGGCAAACACACAGATAGGCAGACATGGTCTGTCGACAGGGCTCAAAGCCCTCCCCCTGCCCCTTCTGCCCCTCACCCCTCCCCCTCCCATCCGCTAAACTCCATCCGAAATGCGATTCCATACCATGTCTCGTGTGATAAGTAAAATGACTAAAAAGCAGATATGCTTGAAAATTATAACATTGCTTTTTCAATCCCTTTTTCCCATCAGAGCAAGTCCCTAGTCTCCTTATTGTTAGAGTAACTCCTCCCGGTATACTTGAAGTTTTGGAAGCCGAAAGCCATGTCATTCTCCCGGTCCAATCAAAAAATTAGTGCATGTTGTTTATGTTCAGTAGCAAATCACATACATCGGTGTTCATCAGATAAATGTTGGCATAAAGTCCTCCAAAGATGCACGTCAACGGCATGATTGCTCCGACTACGACTGCAAGTGCGAAGCCAGCAGCTACGTAGTGGCAGTCCTTTCGGGAAGCATATCGGAACTGAAATTCTATCGAAGCTTTAGCTCTCCGAAATGTTGCCTTTCGCATTATCTGTCAAGAATGGATATCATCAACTACATTGACTTATTTTCGAATATCTGAAAGATTTTCATGATGCATATCTAAATGGGCAGAGTCTTCGAGCATTGATCAATCCCGTCTGAGGGATGCGCCCCGCGTTCGATCTTCAATTTGAATCGTAGCGACTTATTGAATGCGTGTACCGACCCATACAATGACTTGCAGTGGCCAGTTGATGTGCAAATCATTGCTACTATCCTCCCAAGCTAGTCTGGTACCAACTATCGGAGGGATATAATGCTTGGTTGGCTACACGAATATCAATTCGGGATTCGAACCCGTGATCATGCTTGTGTTATGCAGTGCCACTTGCCACTTCACCATCTCTAAAGAAAACTACATTCATTATGAAACCCCATTGCAAATGAAGCAGTAAGAGCTGAGAGCGAGCTTAAGAGCTGCAAGAGAAAATAGCAAGTAAGATTTGAGCGCTTACCAGTTCAGCAACGGACACTGGCTTTCGATCTAACTTCTCCGTCGACAGATCACCTCTGAAAATGACAGAGCGCTGCTTTTCTCCCTGGATTAATGACAGTTCAAATTCATTGCACCCACTAGAATTGAGAAGGTTTCGGTCAAAACTGCATGAACCAACAGGAAAGCATGGACAATAACCAATATGATTGAAGACACAGAAAATATTATGATTTCTCACCTACATAGAAGTACGTCGAGTAGTTTTTCGAAAAACGTTCTCGAAATTGAGCCTTCCTCTTCTTTAATCGCAGTCATAGCTTACGGAGAGCGTATTCGTGAAATCACTAATAAAGCATAGTCCATTCGTCCTTTTACAAGAAAATCTGTAATCGTCTTCCGAAAGTACTTTTCACTCTTTAAAGATGGTATGGAGGAACACAAACTGGGAATTCATTGCCTCGAATGAACAGTCGTTCCACTGGGAGACTGTAACAGGACAACACGACAATCAACAGTTCGAGGGGCTACTTGAATTTCAAATCATCATTTCGTCGCTCTACAGCTTATCATATATTGAAAAAGCGTTGCACATCGATCTATGATGTGTATGATGTGTTATGGGTATGCTGTCATTAGAATCCTTATTCTGACCAGGGTCCTACTTACAAATAGGCAAAGGCGACTGGAAGTGAACAGGATTGGTATGGTAGTGGTAAGTCCCGCCCGCGAAACTATTGGAAGACACGAACAACCGAGGAAATATCACAGCAAACAATGTCTAAGTGATTTTAGTTGGTTCTTTCGCCTTTTCTTTCCACTGATGTCTTCTAATCGGTTCACGAGTTCACAGTACAGTTGAGATTGTCATAGGTGACAAAAGAATCTTGGAGTTTACCGTTTCGATCAGTGAACATCCTCCTGATCAGTTCCCTTTCTGTTGACCACTATTAGCGCTTGCAGGGTTAATAATGATATCTGAAAGATAGTCCAAGCTACAGATGAATGCCCCCCTTTTCCCCTATCCGGATACATAAGTGTAATGCCAAACATGATTTTTCGGAGGGATAGATTGGTTTCTCCTCCCTAGTTGGAGTTTGGTCTAAAATCAAGAATGTTCTGAATAGAATCAAACTATAACTGCTAGATACACGCCCTATCCACGTGGAGTAACGGTCACACTCGCCTGTTGCCAGTATCTCGCTCTAGTACGGTAAGCTCTATAGTACTCTACCATCCTGTCTATCACTCTACCTGCCACTGGCAATTAAAAAACCGAAATTAATATTTACGTGTCCCCACATGCACCGAGAAATGGAAACAATACCCATTAAAACGCCTAAATGGGTTTCAACGTAATCAGATTGCATGGCGCATTTTCACTTACTCCACCAACACTGAAATATTCATTCTAAACTAATCTCACAAATCTTAAAGGTGTATAATAACGAATAGCAGGAAAGGGCGGCTTTTAATGAAGGTCTGTAGATGTTTTCAAAGTTTACTCGAGTCTACCTTGTTTTCATACATTTGGAGGTAGAATTATTCCTGTGACCTCTTAATCCTCCCATGATTTTATCTCTCGAATTGATTTCCATAAATCTTCAAAGCACAGATGCCATAACAGGGTTGATTCGCTTTCGTTTTCGAACAACGAAAACGTCATTTCCAAAACAGCAACAGCAATCGACATCAAATATCTCTACAGTAGTGCAAGTGTGATATACATGTCGAATTACCATCAAAACTAGGTTCGATTCGGCTCACGAAAAAATTCTCATCAAAGAAGCAACGAAAATGCAGGGCTAGTAAGAGGTAAACAAAAAAAGCGAGTAAACGAAGCCTCTGAAGAAGGGGGGGGGGGGAACAAGCGAAACTGGGTCCCAATCTAAACGCCTGTTGCGTGAAATGGGCTTCTACTGCGGCATGTCAATCAAATATTCATGATTGATCATAAACACAATACGGCTTGGAAGAGATTGAAGATATTTCCTCAAAGTACCGCTCGATGTCAAGCTTCGACATAGCTGATGGTACTTCTAAGTTTTTTTTTTATATTTCCAAGAGATGGTAATGAGAAATCTTGACAAAAAACTCTAGAAATATGAATCGCTGGGTCTCCAGAATATTAGACGGCAACGTAGGTGGAAAAACCGGCACTGATATGGAGTTTAATGGAAATGGCACATCAGATAAGAATGAGACAAAATTTATTGAGGCCTCAACACCTATGATTGCCGATCGCTTCCATCGTTAATGCGATCACTACGGACATTTTTCGTTTGAGCCCCTCTTGAAATCAAACAGGCTGGGAGCGAAGAGCAGTCCGAAATGCGTCATTTCTATTTATTCTACTGTTTGAGAGGAACTTGTACTGGGACACTTTCATGGATGCCATCCCTCGAAGCGCTGCTTGACTGACTAACGAGGTTGAAGTCATGAGATTTTTTGCAGGATCATGCCTCAATGAGCACCAGTACTAGCAAGCTCATGCTCTCCAGATTGTGCTCCTTTATATTATAAGATATCTCACATACTGGTAATTTCGATTAACGGGCAACGTCCAGAAGAGATTGTTCTCATCCCTAAAGTAACGAGTTTCTAAACAGATATGCAGTATCAGCAGTAGTATGTGAAATGGCTCACTACCCATTTATTCACCTTTCCAAGTACTACATGTGCTGGGGGAGCGGAGAAGCAGGGGAAAGGGTAGGAGGACCTCTGCTCAGACAATTCGAATGTCGTAAAATATTTATCTAACACACAAACTAACTACAGCTGTCACAGTATTTTACAAAAGAGTTTTGAGTTATGTAGATGAATTGAATAAAAAAGATAGCGGTCCCTTGATAGTTCGCTGAGACCTCTTTCTACGTCCGCCGTTACTGTAAGAGTCGTAGTATCTCAGATTTACTCCACAGGTGGTACATGGAGCTGGTTGAATGTCGGAGTGGAGAGGCCATACAAGGGGGAGGTGGCTGGCTCTGTGAACAGGTAACACACGGAGTCTGAGTGACTGGTGGATCGCAATGAGATTGTGTCTGTGAGTGACTGGTGGATCGTAATAAAGTTGTGTCTGTTGACAATTTGTGCAGGCAGAGGGGCATAGTGCAGTGTTGCGAGGTAGAACCTCCACATTTCGTTAACTCTACGATTTTTGAAAGAATTCTATCACATGGCGCAACTTGATGACATTCGATCGGGTGCTAGAGTTTAATAGTTCCTTTTATCCTTCGTATCTCCAGTTTGTCTAAATTTATACTGTATACCTTTTCGCCAATTACGCAATCCACGTTTTTATCCTTCAATATGGTTGTCTACTACAAGTTCCCCTTCTCACCAGACTATAGCTCAAATTTAAGAGGATTTTTTTCATGGCTACGACTTCTGATAGTATGCATAAGTGAATATTTGGAAATAGACCCTGAAATGCCATTGTTATATCCGGGTCACGCAGGTAAATATGCATAGCGACATCCGATGGGTAAATCTTCTGTTGCCCAAGTTTTTCATACTTCTAAACGTCGAAATTAGGGTGTTTTGTTTGCCCTTACTGGAAAGCGTAACATGTCTAAAGAATTTTTCTTAAGATCACTATTATGTTTTGTTTATTGTCCGGTTTTACGTAGACTAATCTGACTTTTGGCTCAGAATTGCTTTTAATTGGTTTTTGGAACGATGTGAAGGTTTTTTTGATTGCAAAACGAGGAGAGCATCACCAGTTATCCTTAGATCCTTACTTCCGGAAGTAAGCGCATTATAAGACCGCCACTAAATTCTAGTCAACCCGTTCATGTCCTGAATTATTCTTTGTCTGTACTGGACCAGGCACTGCAGTAGTAACCATTTCCTTTAAGATGGTGCTCCGGAAATCTATCAGGATAGGCCTTCAATTCTCAAGGCGGATGGCTATTACGACTGGTCGTCGACTGCAATGTCGATTTTTCTGGTGAAAGTTATACGGAAATGGAAATCATAGGAAATGTAATGTTTGCGTACACTTGCTTCGTGGAAATCTGTAATAGATGTCGTTGTAATTGAAATCATTGATTACTTCAGATGCAGAGGACAGTAGATGTAGTGGTGTCAGAGGCTNGTCAATGTGAATACTGCCATGTGATTGTTTCCTTAGAACGATCAAAGTCTGAACATCGCATACGAACATGGCCCTACGACGAGTACATCTGTGCTACTTGCTAATTCAATATTTACCTTTTCTTTCGGTCTCCCATTCCACCGCTCACTCCTTCAAAATATTTTCCTTCAGTGTGAAGCCTGAGAAATATCTGTCAATTATGCAGTTTCCGAAAGACCTTGAAGAAGAACTGCGTCGACTCTGGATGAAAAGGCGAATAGAGCCACATGAAGTGGTTTCTGGGAGCGTTTATAAGTATCCTACTATTAGCATATGTCAGCATCACTTGGAATTAGCGGCAACCTTTTTTCCTCTCTTCAGTGCTTTTGTTTACTTGATTGAACAATTACTTGAACTTTTTTCTTCAGCGCTTTATTATGTCCCTCATATCTCGCTATTTTTATTTTTCCTTTTGTTCCCCACTTTTTTCTCATTTAATCTCTCACTTTCTCTCGAACTCTGAACTCATACAAGATTTTCGATTTGTGGGCAAAATTTCAGCCTTGGACGGGACTCGAACCCATACTTGTGCTTTCCGAGTACCGTGCTCTTATCCCTTACACTACCGGGTCCCCGCTTACACTCGCCTTCTTGATGGCTTACATGCCATAGCTTAAGAGCACGATAAAGAGCACGGGATAGAGTCCGGTGCTCGGAAAGCACAAGTACGGGTTTGAGTCCCGTACGGGACTAAAGTTTTGTCCACAAGTCGCCAACCTTGTGAGGCTTTCGCTACGCGTACTGCGACAAGTTCTGTACTCATACTTCTGCCAAGGTAAGTGATCAAACTGTTAAGAGTTAAGGGCTCAACCTTGTGAAAGGAAACTGAGCTTAAGAACAGTCCGACAACGATGCTCCTAGACCACGCGACTATTTCTCACTCCTGCAACTTTCAGACCCAGCACCATGGAGCTCTTCAAGACTCTGACCTAAGCTCTGATTTCTCATTCGCATTGAGCTCATTCCTCGTTTCTTCATCATCATCTGCACCTAAAGATACCATCCTGCGCCCACTTCACCTATGTAATCATCCTACGTTTCTGTGTTTATCATTGCTTTTTTGGAAGAAACCCTTTCAAACCCAAAACATTATGTATAGGATACAACAGATAACAAATAGATTAATCCGTTTTGGCAAGTTGTTGTGCCTTCACCAGCAGGGCATATTTGCCGTCCGCTTCAATGAGCTCCTCATGCGTTCCATACTCCACAACGGCACCATTTTCAATGTAGTAAATCCTGAAAAGATGGCGAACATTCGAGAAATTCACTGATGAACATGAAAAACTTCCAGTCATGACCCTACCTATCAACGTCTCTGACGGTACTCAATCTATGTGCTATTGTTATCGACGTCCTGCCACGACTTGCTTCGTTTAACGCGATTTGGACTACCTTGAAAAATATGATTTCTCCACAAAATTCGGAGGAGCTGTAACATATTCATAATGGAGGGGGTTGCAGAGTTACGGTTTCCTGCTGTAGAACAAGTGTAATGTCCAGGAAATTAGCCGTAGTGACCTTTTCGCTTTCGGTGTCAAGTGCACTAGTAGCCTCATCTAGCAGTATGACTTTAGGTTTGCGAATCAAAGCTCTGGCTATGGCGATACGTTGCTTCTGACCACCTGATAGACTGCCTCCCTTCTCGCCAACATCAGTTTCGTACCCCTGCAATTTTAGGATAATTAGTAGATTTAGTGAGAATCTCAAGAGATTATTTCAGAACCTGAGGGAAGGCTTCAATAAAGTTGGCCGCATTCGCTTGCCTGCACGCCTCCTGTACCTCGGCTACACTGAAATCTTCCAGTCCCAGCGTAATGTTTTCAATGATTGACCCTGAATTAGTCCTACTATGGGGCCCCCACGAATCCTAAAACATATGTATTATATTACCCTTAAAAAGTATCGGTTCCTGTCCTACGAGGGCGATGTTGTTCCGAAGGTGCACGCGACACATCTGCTTCAGCTCGTGGTTGTCAATTTTCTGAAAGCAACTGGTTAAATTCTAGAAAATCTGCCATATTCTTCATCATTAAGTGACTTCAATGGAAAATATGTGTCTCTGATAACTCACAATAATTCCACTGTCCGGTTCGTAAAATCTCTCCAGAAGCTGGATTACGGTACTCTTCCCACAGCCTGACGCTCCTACAAGGGCTATGGTCTGACCACTGCGTGCCATGAGATTCAGATTCTGGGCAACCTGAAAAGTAAGTTTTGGTGTGAAAGCTCATCGAAAAGGTATTCAGCCTGAGCAGTACTTTCCTGAGCGTCATCGTAACGATTTTGTTTTCGAAGAAATCGATTTGAAAATAACCTTCACATCTGGCCGTGATGGGTAACTGAAGGTCACATTTTCAACTTTGATGGATCCTTTGAGTTCCTTAAAAAGGGCCGATTTACCTTGTCAACTTTGTATTTGGTAAGGTAATGCTTCAGCCGAGAAAATACGTACAGGTGTTGCCTCGCCTTCCGACTTCTCATAGCTGTCGATGAGGGCATACAAAGATTGAACAGCAAAATGTGATCGAACGAAATCACCCAGAGCTGCTGATGCAAATATTACAGCCCATCCAGCATAGCTTGCACTCGCTGCCGACCTGAGAAAAGTTGTACTCAGCAGCGAGTATGATGCTCGGAGATCGTGGTGTAGCTGACATTTTTTTCCGAAGTCGCACGAATCAAAAATGCGGTCCCACGTCTATTCATGTGATAGAGAGCTGGGACGAGGTCGAGTATTAAAACAGTCTCTGAAGCTACTGACATCCCTGTTGATAAAAAGAATACTGGAGAGAGTGACACGGATCCAGAAATCATCCTCCACTATCTCAGCAATTCAATTGGCTCTATCAGCAGATCAAGACCAAAAGCTCTCCTGATGCGATATAGAGCTGGCTTTGAAGATCTCTAAGCCTTCTTTATGATTAGTGAGCTCCCCATGTGGTACCCTTCTGTTCAGCCAAGATTACAACCTATTGCTGCTCGGGATTGAAGCGTGTCCGCGGCAGATTCCTCAGGCAGTGAGAAAGTCACCTAGAATCATGGCTATTCAACTTCATGTAACAGCTGGGGTGCGAGTGAATGGCCACGAGAGCTATCTCAATGGGATGAAGTAAGTTAGGCTTATCGGCTGCTGGAGGAATTATGGAATGTGAGGTATCGTCGTTGATTACTTACACAACTGTGTCCTTTGAGTCAACACGTCCGAAGTAGATCATGCTGGCTCCGATACCGTAGGCTACCAGGTTGGAAAAATAGATGTAAGACTGAGTGAGCCCGAACTGGATCGATTGGTATATCGTTGTCTGAACAGCAACTGTTAAAACCGTATATCCAATTCATTTCCAGAGGTATTCCTTCTACACTTGATGCCCTGAACTATATTTTGTAAAAAGAAAACCTTTTCTGATGAGGTCCTAAACTTACTTGTTGGTAGCGGGACCCCTTTCAAGAATTGACTACGGGTACTGAACATACCCTTTTTTCTTGTTTCTTGACAACGACCTCGTAACTTTCATATTTTTTCAAAAAGTAATCCTCAACGGCCAGTAGCTGGATAGTTTTGGCGTGCTCGAACACTTCAATATAGAGCTGAATGAGACGCGGGTCAAGTGTGATCTGCATAGGCATTCTAGGAAACATACTTCAGGAGTTTTGTCAGTTTCGGACTTCTTTTCCATACTGGCAGATATTCTGTTAGTGGTAATCCACATACTGACAATGAACAAAGCCAACAAAACGGTCACGGCCACTCCACTCTCCCAACAGGCGATAATGGACAGTGGAATACAAACGATCACAGCACACATATTGTTCACCATCAGCATGAAGCGGTAGTCGAGGCACTGCAAGGAAATACCCACGTTGAAGGTTTTGAGAGTTATAGCTGTGTTCATGGAATGAGTATGGGTGTTTTGCGATAGAACTTAAGAGGAAGTAACTGGCTAAGCCTATGCGAATGCATGCGAGTGCAATGAAGAGGGATAACAGTAAACGAGTATGCATAAATTCATGCGACTAATGTAAACATACTGCACGGTCATTGGTCGAGCTCACTCGAGTATTACGAGGTGGTTCAACCTCTTCTTTTGGTTCAATTTTTAGAAGGAAGGGTCTTTTTCGGATATTCGGAATGCTTTTTCTTCTCTCAGATGTTTATTTATTTGTTTATTTGGTTGATATTACCTACGCTAGCGGAAGTGGAACTGAAAAAAAGTATGAATACCGCTTGAACATCCGGTGCTTTTGTGGACAGTTCAGCGACACAGGCGGCATTGCTGCACTGAGGCCGATCGAAGTACTCGGCTTCTTGGCTCAGCAGACTTTTCAAAACTTTTACACGCATATTCGCAGTGGTAACTTCACCTGACCACCCACCGAAACCTACCTAAAGTCAAGTTTCTGAAAAGACTTACGATTTCACGGTGCTTAATCAAACTTACTGCAACTGTCAGAAAGAACCACGAATATAATGCCAAGAAAATAAATAATCCAATTGCCAGCCACATGAATGGTATGAACGTCTCCTGAATGTACTCATACAGTATGAAATGAGCTGTAGAATGAGGTATAACTATCGGTTTTTGAGCAAAAAAATCCGCTCTACTATGAACACTTCAGTAGATTACATCTAACAAATATAGTAGGTACTAGGGGATCAAGCGGTAGCAACTGTAGTCGAATATAATCTACTGGGAGCTTTTAAAGCAGACCGTCAAAGAAGCTTGAAGGTCTACTGTGGTTGCGCCTATTGAGCACCCTGCGCTTCTTGAGATATCACTGTTACCGTTGAATTACTGTACACTCAACCCTTCTGGGCATTCCTTACGTAGTAGAAGGCAGAGGGTGGGTGCTATATGTGTCATGCTGCTACCATCATGTACTTTGACTCCGAATCAAGAAAAAGTATTCTTACAGCTGTTTGCTCTAGAGCTTGATAACTAAAGCCCACGAAATAGGCAAAAAGAGGAGGTTCCATTCCTCGTAGAACGCTTCCTATCAAGCAAGCCCAAAATACTGCACTGGACTGTAGACTAGTAAGATATACCCGGAAGATTCCTCTACCACGGCATGCCTGCAAACAAATGGCTTGCCTACAAGAGTACAGGAAGTATTGAAATGAAATAAAATGGGTAGACCTTGATTTGGGTGGCTTTGTCAATGGGGCGTGCAGTAGCCGGCTGGGAAACGATGGATGAGACGGATCTTCGCGTCCTTCCGCTTTCTCTCAAGTTATGCCTCACCAAAGCCGCGGAACTAAAATAATGAAGTGAAATCATGAAAAAAAAGTATTAAATATAATATGCCAACGCAATGTGGTATGTTAAGCTATCACTGATTATCAAGGAGCTTCATCTGCTTCTTGAGAGTGCATACAGATCTACTTTGAATGCATTTACAAACTCACAACTATCACTTCTACACTACCATGGAGGTGGTGTCTTTCAGGGCACAGTAATGCAACCATATCTCTGTCACTCCTCTGTAATTCTCGGATCATAGTCATAGCGCTAACGTATGTAGTAAGCAATAGATAACGGTTTGTAACGTGAAGTCGGTAGGTCGCCTGCATTAACGCAAATTCCGTAATTCAAAGGCCCAGTTCATGGTAATTCTGAGGTATTCAGCTTGAAAGAAATAATGGACGGTATAATGAAGAATAGTGCAGAATGGCGGAAAAGCGCAAAGAAGAATTTTGAGAAATCTAAGGCTTCAGAGAAGTGGTAAGAAAAGGGATCGTATGAGATTACGCGTCTGTAATCGTACAGCTGTTTCACTCTTTAGCGTACTATTCTTCGGCGTCCAACCGTTTTATTGTAAGGGGCTACTTTTAGGTGTTTAGGTTAACCAGCCGACTTTGGTGTCCTTAGAAAGCCCTTTTGAGGTAGTTTTTCGGGTGAAAATGTAGTTGGGGGGGGGGACCACCCATCCGAAGGCCAGCATATCAAGAAATGATTTCAGCCTCACGTGTCAGCCCTTGTTATATCAGCGCTGAATCGGATGCGTAGAGCATGATGGGAATCGACCAGCTTAGCTCTTTTATGCGGTTTCCGCTGAGGAAATTTAGTTTCCCAAATAAGTCTAGGTAGGGTAGGAGCGTCTGGGTGGCTGGGATGATTACCTCCTGCAAAAAAAAGGAAAGAAAACTTGCCCACCGTGGTGCTCCTTCCCTACGAAAGCCCTTATTTAAAAACTGGCATGTCCGTGATATAACACGACATAACGCGTTTCATTGAGTTCATTTCTTGATATACCGACATTGTGATAGGTGCCCCCCCCCCCCCCCCAACTACATTTTCACCGTTTTTCGATACGACAAAATCCCTTATCTATCCTTGAGGGCCGCAGGTTCTTAGGAGGGTATCTCAGAAACCATTTCTATTGTGGAGTGTGCCTTTGAAGGGAAAATGTTTGGAAAGGAATAAAAATGAATAAAAAAAATTAGAAAGTGTTACTCGAAAAAGGTATTACCCAAGTGTTTGCGCGAAGGTTGATGCTTCGAGTAAACAAAGTTGATTTCATGAGGAAATTGGATAAAATGATAATCATAAGCGCTGCGAATGACTGATTAACAAGAAAAGCAGAAGTTAAATCCTGACGATGCATTTGAGTCGGTACTGCCGGAGAATGTCCTTGTCCGCGTACCAATGCCGGCAATGTTGATGCCAACTTCTTGCGCGGCTGCTAGAGCGCTGTACAGGCCTCCTTTTTCCAATAGCTCAAAGTGAGTACCTAAAAAGTCGCGGTAACCTGGATGATCTGAGATGTGCGGGTTTCTTTCGAGTAAGGCAACGTAGGTGAAGAGTTCAGCAGTAGCTAATCGAGCAGTTAATTAACAGGTGACACACGCAAAGATGACGGGCTCCCAGATGAGCTATTTATCTCATGGTCAGATCCTCAACAACGTAGTTGGATTTGAGACTTACACAAGGAACTGCGAAGGTCAACCGATCAGCAGAACGGTTTTTTCCTACTTTTTCAGTGAACCACCTTCCACTTGACTTGAAAATGATAGGAGGCCTCGTTAGCTATAAAGATCCCTGCCTGAGCCTTGACACTATTCACCAAATTCTCCTCTCGTGATAATAACAGTGATAAATATAATTATTGGAGTAACAGTAATACCTGCTTCCATTACTTTCCCGTCTTGAATGGCATAAATTCGCTGGACTTCCTTCAACGTGCTCAAGCGATGAGCAATCACTATCGTTGTGCGACCACGAGAAGCCTTGTTCAGGGCAAGCTAGAATAGCGCATAGATCACTCCTTGGATAAATTCCCGAAAATCCTCACTTTCATACCTGCACCACATTCTCGCTTTCAGAGTCCAATGCACTGGTGGCCTCGTCCAAGAGCAGAATTTTTGGCTGAGTTGCCACCGCTCGAGCGATGGCAATCCTCTGCTTCTGTCCTCCCGAAAGTGAGACTCCTCCAGATCCAATTATAGTGTCGTAGCCCTTAAAAGCTTTCTTTTATTAACGATAGTGCAGACAACTGCTGAGGGCTCACTTTGTCCAGTTTCATGATGAAATCGTGAGCATTCGCTATCCGAGCAGCTTCTTCGGCTTGTTCGTCGGTGATTGACCGGCCAAGCACTATGTTCTCGCGAATTGTGCCTTTGAAAAGACAAGGCTCTTGCTGGACAATGCCGATCATCTGAAAACTGGCATGGCTATGTAAGACGAGGTCGCCGTTGAGATTAGGATGGTACCTTTCTCAGATCACTCGTTTTAATCGATCGAATCTCCTGACCATCAAGGAGAGCTGATCCTCTGTCACAGTCGTAAAGTCGAGTCAATAGGCCGATCTGAATTGAAAATCACTAAATTCTCGAAAAACTATTTAAACAAGCCAACGAGTAGCTATGTAAACACATGAACAATGTGTCAAACGAACACTGGTGCTTTTGCCACTGCCGCTTTTACCTACGAACGCGATCGTCTCTCCAGGTTCAGCTACCCAACTGAGACCTTGCAGTATGGGTGTTTCTCTAAAGAAATAGAAATTCTCTATGACTTCTTTGTCACAGCGACTTTTAATTCACCTGGTTGGATATTTGAAATAAACGTCTCTGAATTCCAATCGACCTTTGCACGCCTTTAATCCTTTTCCTGCCTTGGAAACGACTTCCTGAGCCTGGAAAACATCGATGATGACCACAAGATCCTGAGCTTGCTGCGCAAACATGAAATTTTTTCCGAGCTCCAGTCGAAGCTGCCCTAAAGGAGATAGAAGACAGTAATGGAAGGAATTTCTGGCTAACAAACGAAATTGCAGAAAAAAACAAAGTAAAAGTGAAAAGTAAAAGACAGCCTAAAAGTGAAAATCCTATGTGTGCTCTGGTGATTTCGGAAGACTTTAATTACCAAAGCGGCAATTTAATTTACTTGGTCAATCGTTTCATAAATGATGGCTGCAGCTATTCTCGCCTTTATAATGGCCATCATATGGGGGCCGAGTAGTCCGAAAAAGTAGGAGCCTAAAAGGCGAATGGGTACGATACGGGGATTTGGTAGTTTCTGGTAGGAATTTCCTTCACTTTTGCTAACCTCACCTAACAAAACTGTAGAAGCCACAATGAATATCGTTCCAGGCTCGGCAGTGATGCCATTATAATAGCTTAGAATACCATATCTGGAGAAAACATAATATATGATTTAATGCTAATGTCAACATTTCGATTGAAATGGATTTTCCCCGAGAAACGACTACACACAGGAAAGCAGCTGCGTAGAAAATATACATCTGAAAGAACATGAATCCTTCGCAGAATCCGTTGATGAAGCTATATCGAATAGCAAATGATACTCCTCGCCTCAGTTGCTTCTCATATTTCTGAAACATCCAGAAGTCAAGTTCATTATTTTTTCGACCAATAATTCCTTATTTGTTGGGAGCGAATGTTGATAAAGTTGGTATACAGACGTGGAATTCAACATAATTAGCCTTTTTCTAGCCAACTTGGAACAGTGAGCAATTCCCGAGACGGGTATGTCTACACTTTTTTGAAAGTCAAAGTCTCTTTTTTTCAAATGGGCTGCTTGCCAGTAACTGGGGCTAGCTACAGCTTTTAAATAGAACCAAATGCGAAGCGCAACGTAAGATAAAGTAGTCCGCGGCCTATACAAAATCGGTCTTGTAATAACTTACTTCAACCATATGCTTTTGTCCGTTGCAAGCTGCGACTGTTTTGACGTTCATGATGGCTTCTTCAGCTATTGCACCAGCTTCGCCGGAAACTGACATCATACCCTGCATTGAGGGTGAAGAGAGCTGGAACAGTCCGACAGAGGAAATCCGACAAATGCTTTATAAACCTGAGCGGCCATCTGAGGACGGTCATTACTATTGCATCTCGAAAGCCTCTCCGAATGCAAGTAACTGGAAGGAGATTGGCGAGCTGCTTCACATGCATAGCTGGGGCTCACCTTCACTTCGTTCCTCTAACTTATGCGTCTTCTTTAATTTTAAGACGAACTGCAATAGCCGAGGTGCAATAGCAACGTCACACCGTATCCTTTTGTCTTCAGAATTCAGAACGTCTTCCAGATCTTCGCTTACCCTTGACATGATAGCCATAGTTATGGCGTTTACAGGTCCGTCCCAAATGCACACCAGAGTAATACGCCAGTCGTAGTAAAAAGCAAAAGCGGCGCTGGCGATGAACACTGTCATTCCTCTTGTTAGCATTCCAATCTTGTCACTGATTCCTTCTTCAATTTGAGCTATGTTCCTGGAAAAGCATCCTTTCTTATTCTCGACTAATTTTGATTCAACTCTTTTCTAGTCAAGAGAGTGAGCCTTTCAAGGGGAGCCTATGAGATCAGATTTTCTTTCCATTGGTAGATTACCCCGCTTCCCTCCCCCATCTCGCTTCTACTCAAGTTTGGCAAACTCCAAATGAAAAAGAGTCATATGATTCAGAAACCCTTCTCACCGATTTGGCCTCTCAGTAGCTTTCCGGTCTGGGTCAATCGCTCGCTAGAACCTACCAGGGAAGGATCCCAAGTCGAAGTGGCCATTTGAAATGAGATCTTTACTGCTAGACGTATTTTCGGATGCTGATCTCAAATCTGCTTTCCACATTTGCCAAGCGATTTTCTGAATAGAATTATGAGATGATTCTAGGGAGGCGCAACATGAGCGAACTTGAATTACATGGATGTGACGAATCTACCAGCGGCGGATCGGAGCAGTGGTAAGGGTGTCGCTTCGTAGTCAGACTAGGGTTCGGGTTTCGTGCGTGGGGGGCGAAAATTTTGTATTGTATTGAATTTTCTCCTTGCAGCATAAAAATTCCTTTGATGTTGATTTTATCGCGTTCTACTACCTTTTGA